CCTCTTAAGTTAGGTGTGAGGATCTCTGATTTAATGACCTCTGAAGTTAGGTGTGAGGACCTCTGATTTGATGACCTCTTAAGTTAGGGGTGAGGACCTCTGATTTGATGACCTCTTAAGTTAGGTGTGAGGATCTCTGATTTAATGACCTCTGAAGTTAGGTGTGAGGACCTCTGATTTGATGACCTCTTAAGTTAGGGGTGAGGATCTCTGATTTAATGACCTCTGAAGTTAGGTGTGAGGACCTCTGATTTGATGACCTCTTAAGTTAGGTGTGAGGATCTCTGATTTAATGACCTCTTAAGTTAGGTGTGAGGACCTCTGATTTGAGCTGTGAAGACTAATGGTGTTAGCTATTTAATGACGTTCATTGTAAGCCTTCGCATTTCATTCTTTGTTTGAGTAGAAAAAAAATATTATTTTAATTGAGTGAAGCTGGCCACTTAATTAAACACAGCAATATCAGAAAGATTTGTCAACAAAAATTATCGATATCCGATCTTTGCTTGCCAGATTTCTGCGCGAAATAAAATCAATACCCGGCAATTCGATGTTCTGGTGAGAACATTGGGGCACGTGACCAAGTTCCAAAATAAACTTCTAAAGTTAGCTGACAGTATTGGCGCCCTCAATTCTGTAATAGGCCAAAATTGGTGGCGCCCTCATGTTCTGTACCTGGTTGACAATATTGGCGCCATCAAGTTCTGTAACAGGATGACAATATTGGCGCCCTCAAGCTCTGTAACAGGCTGAGAATATTGGCGCGCTCAAGTTCTGTACCTGGTTGAAAATATTGGCGCCCTCAAGCTCTGTACCTGGTTGACAACATTGGCGCCCTCAAGTTCTGTAGTTAGCTTACCATATTGGCGCCCTCAATTCTGTAACAGGCCAAAGTTGGTGGCGCCCTCATGTTCTGTACCTGGTTGACAATATTGGCGCCCTCAAGCCTCAAGCTCTGTAACAGGCTGAGAATATTGGCGCCCTCAAGTTCTGTACCTGGTTGAAAATATTGGCGCCCTCAAGCTCTGTAACAGGCTGAGAATATTGGCGCCCTCCAGTTCTGTAGCTGGCTAAAGGTGGTGGCACCCTCATGTTCTGTAACAGGCTAAAGATGTTCAAAGCGTTGGAAGGCGCCTCAAGTTGTCTAACTAAACTTCATCTCTCCAAATGTTGAAAGCGTCGAAACTCTAAAATCACAAAACCGGATGTGCTGCAGCCCTAGACCCACAAAAAAAACGAGTTACAACGACACATTCAATACAAACTGATGACACCTTTATTTTATTTTAAAAATTATTCCTAAACTCATCGTGTTAATCCATTAAATACATGTATAACGAAACCTTAACATTACCCCGATAAAAAATACATTTGAAAGAAGTGTACATTGAACCCTGAACACAAGACCAATAAATAAAACATGCAATGAACCGACCCTTTCGTCTTTGATTCCGTAGAACACTAGAATAAGATTCTATAAGAATTGATAAATGAAGATGGATTAATCAATAAATAGATGGGAGAACGGATAATTGTATACCGGATCAATACTGTAAAGCGACCCATCTCATTGTATTCTAGAGAATCGAGGTTTCCTATTTATATTCACTTACCGGCTAGCCGGCTTAATTACTTGCAGTCTTGCCGGCTTAATCCGGCTACCCGTGCGACCTGGTTATCATTTGCATGGACGGTGACCTTGGGTGCCGGCACCCCCCTTGTAATTGGGTGAGTCTGGTCTTTGAGACCTGAGGGTGGGGTCCCGGGAGAAGGACGCCGATAAAAGACAGACAGTGGCACTCTTTATAAAAAGTTGGATCCTCTGTGGAAAGCTACGGGCGTGAATAGAAATCAGCGCTGTCCCACTAGTCGAATAGAATGCCAGAACGCCAAGACAAGATGTATCGGCCATTGGGCGTGACTTGCTCCATCATCATCATTTCCATGACACAGGGAGGGTGAGAGGGGGGTCGCTCTGGTGCGTTGAGTTTATCGGCGTGACGGAAGACACATGAATTGGAAACTGTCTATTAATTCAAGTGGGGGGAAAAAAGCAACGTTGTCATAATTAATTATTAAAGGTGGTGTCAACCCTACCCCGGTCGTTCATTGACCTTTAAGTTATTGACTTCTTCTTCTTCTTCTTCGTTCTTAATTTTTGAATATGGTGGAGAATTCAGACAACAAGTCCAACTTCATGGACAAACCGGACTGTGGTTTCCAGTTTGTCAGGTGTCCCATATAATTTTTCCCTGAGTGGGGTGGGCTGGGGCCAGTGTCTGACTCTTGCCTGGCTATACAGAGTACAATCCTGGAGTACGTGCTCCGTGTTTTCCGGGGCCTTGCCACAAGGGCACATTTCGCTACACCCAACCTTCAGTTTTTTGTGCATGTGTTGATTTAGTCTGTTGTGGCCTGTTCTAAGTCGAAAGATTATGTATTGTTGTTTTCGTGTTAAATTGTAATAGCCGTCGTCTTTAATGTAGTGAGGGTGTGTGACAGACCACATTTGCGTTTGTTTGTGTTTAATTATTCTTTTTATTTCTTTTGGGTGTAGCGAAATTTCCGGTTGTGGTTTCTTTCCCCCAATTTTTGCCAGCTGGTCTGCGATCTCGTTACCCTGGATCTGGCAGTGGCCCGGGATCCACTGCAGCACAATTCTGCTGCAGGTATTTTTTAGCCTCTCTAGTGCTGTCATGAGTGTTTGAATATAGGACTCCGGATTTTGTAGGGATTGCAGGACTGATTTGGCATCTGTAAGAAATACAATCTGACTATTCGGTGATTCAGGGTGTTCTGACAGGAGGTTTGCTGCGTGTTCTAAAGCTTCTTTTTCTGCCCTAAAATTGTCGGATAGGCTGCCTGTGTCTATTGCCTTTTCCAGGCTTTTTCCGCTTGGCCATTCAATAAGGATGCCAGCCCCGCCGTTTTTTGTGGCATCTTCAGCTGAGCCATCTGTGAAAACTCTAATCCAGGTATTGCTGGGGTACTGATCCTTAATGTGATTATTTGTTATTTTCTTAAGTTCTTCTAGATCATAGTCAGATTTTTTTCCTATGGTGTCTATTGAGTAAATAATGGATAAGTGACAGTGGGAGATCCAAGGCGGGGAGAGGTTTTGAGTTTTTATTGCTTCAGGAATGATATTTTCGATTTCATATTTCTTTTTCAGATTCTTTGCTTCTTTGATGAAACTTGTTCTTTGTAGTCTGGTTGAAGGACTGGGTTTCTGGAGTTTTTGTTTTAGGTTATGGTTTTCCAGTGCCTCTAGCTTTGTGTAATGAGTGAGGATTTTTGATTCTCTTCTTTCTTCTATTGAGCTAAGAGCGGCTATTTCCTCCATAGCTTTTATGGGTGTTGTTTTCATGGCTCCTGTCATTATTCTCAAACCAATGTTCTGAACTTTGTCAATTTTGCTAATATTTGTTTTTGCTGCTGAGCCCCAAGCCGAAGCACCATATTCTAACGTAGGTCTCACATAGCTGGTGTAGGTTTTTTTCAGGATGTGGTGATTTGCTCCCCAGTCTGTTCCTGCCAGTTTCCTCATTAGATTAAGTCTTTTAATCCCATTACTTTGTGTGTTTTCTATTTGTTTTCTCCAGGTAAGTCGAGTGTCAAAAGTGACTCCTAGGTAAGTTATTGACAATATTTAACAAATTTTTTCCCCTTTTTAGATTCTGTAGTTGGTGTCACCCCCCCCCCCTCCTCCCCCGGAATTTATAGTTTTAATTTGTGCACACTTAATAGTAACGATTGTTTTTTTTTTTCTTTACTTAGCAAGTTTAACACATGCTATAATATCCCCCACTTCACATTGCGATTGTCAATTAAACATTATTTTAACCGGCAAAAAAAAAGCATTTTGTTTTGGTAAATTTGCATTTTTTACTTTCTCGTATATACGAAGTATAGAGAAAGTCTTATAATCGTGCAAAAAAAAAAATCGAGATTTTTACAAATCTCGACGTTTTGCATCTCACTGATACGGAAAAACATAATTTTGCAATCTTGTCCGTATGTCTGTGTGTCTGTGTGTGTGTGTGTGTGTGTGTGTGTGTGTGTGTGTGTGTGTGTCCGTGTGTAAACACGATAACTTGAGTACCGTTACAGCTAGGTTGATGAAATTTCATATATAAGTATTTAATCAAAATCGTAGATCCGTATCAACTTTTGAGCGATTTCCGATAACCGGAAGTGGTACTTTTCCTACTTTGAATTTTTCAAAAGCCTATAACTTGAGTACTATTTCAGATAGATAAATGAAATTTCATACGTAAGTAAAAGATCTAATTCTCTACCTTCTATTAAATTTTGAGTCATTTCCGTTGACTGGAAGTAGTACTTTACGCTACTTCCGATTTCTCAAAAAATTAATGTAAATTTTAAAAGTAATAATAATATTGCGCACTATTATGCGCTTTTTTATTTCGCGTTCACTTGGTGTGCAATTAATTTGTCTACGAGATTTTATTCTATTTTTAAAACTTTAAGTATTTAAAATGGATTAAAAATCATGTCTATAGCCCGAGTTCCCATCCCCTGTTATTTTATATAAGAATATTCGAGAAAGTTTAGGGGAGATCACTCCCGGTTTATTTTCCTTCGTAAATGTTGTCACCTGGTGTCTATTTATTTCTACACTATTAATGTCTGTGTCCATTTATTTCTACACAAATTTAAATGACTGTGGCCATTTATTTCTACACTATTAATGTCTGTGTCCATTTATTTCTACACAAATTTAAATGTCTGTGTCTATTTATTTCTACACTATTAATGTCTGTCCATTTATTTCTACACAAATTTAAATGTCTGTGTCTATTTCTACACTATTAATGTCTGTCCATTTATTTCTACACTATTAATGTCTGTCCATTTATTTCTACATAAATTTAAATGTCTGTGTCTATTTCTACACTATTAATGTCTGTGTCCATTTATTTCTACATAAATTTAAATATCTGTGTATATTTATTTCCAGCGCTGTCATGGAACCGAGCCCAGGGCCGGGCAACACCACGATGGATGCAGGGTCAGGGGTCATGGCCTATGTTGTACACGCTGGGAGTAGCTCGCCCCTTAACTCTAGTCTTAACCTGAACAACTCGCTGGCTGATGGAGACCTGAGGTAATGTTGAGGGTTTTGGTGTCTAAGGGGGGGGGGGGGGGGGGTTGGTGTCTAAGGGTGGGGTTTTTGGTGTCTAAGGGGGGGGGGGGTTGTGTCTAGGGTTGGGGTTTTTTGTGTCTATGGTTGGGGTTTGGTGTCTACGATTGGGGTTTTGGTGTCTACGGTTGGGGTTTTGGTGTCTAGGGTGGCGGTTTTGGTGTCTATGGGTGGGATTTTTTGTGTCTAGCGTTGGGGTTTGGTGTCTAAAGTTGGGTTTTGGTGTCTAAAGTTGGGATTTGGTGTCTACGGTTCGGGTTTTGGTGTCTTCAGTTGGGGTTTGGTGTCTAAAGTTGGGATTTGGTGTCTAAAGTTGGGATTTGGTGTCTACGGTTCGGGTTTTGGTGTCTTCAGTTGGGGTTTGGTGTCTAAAGTTGGGATTTGGTGTCTAAAGTTGGGATTTGGTGTCTACGGTTCGGGTTTTGGTGTCTTCAGTTTGGGTTTGGTGTCTAAAGTTGGGATTTGGTGTCTACGGTTCGGGTTTTGGTGTCTAGGGATGGGGTTTTTGGTGTCTAAGGGTCAGTTTTTGGCGTTTAGTGTTGGGTTTTTGGTGTCTAAGGGTCAGTTTTTGGCGTTTAGTGTTGGGTTTTTGGTGTCTAGGGTTCGGGTTTAGGTGTCTAGGGATGGAGTTTTTGGTGTCTATGGAATAGGATTTTTGTGTGTCTAGGATTGGGTTTTGGTGTCTATATTAAGGGTTCTGGTTTCTAGGGTTGGGGTTTTGGTGTCTAGGGTTGGGGTTTTCTAACGCCTGGATAGGGCTGTATTTTTCTAGTATTATTGTGGCTGCTGTTTAGGTTTAAGATTGACAACGACTAAGGTTTTGGTTGCAGTTTACGTTTATGTGCAGGAGCAGGCTTTTGGATAAGTTTACGGATGCTGATATACTGAGCTACTAAAAAGTCCTGATTGCAATATGTTTAACTACCCAAGTGTCTGGCTAGCCGTATGCCAACTACCCTTATGTCCAGCTACCCGTATGTCCAGCTACCCGTATGTCCAGCTACCCGTATGTCCAGCTACCCAAGTATCCAACAACCCGTATGTCCAGCTACCCAAGTGTCAAGCTACCCAAGTGTCCAACTACCCGTATGTCCAGCTACCCGTATGTCCAGCTACCCGTATGTCCAGCTACCCGTATGTCCAGCTACCCGTATGTCTAGCTACCCGTATGTCCAACTACCCGTATGCCCAGCTACCCGTATGTCCAACTACCCGTATGCCCAGCTACCCGTATGTCCAACTACCCGTATGTCCAGCTACCCGTATGTCCAGCTACCCGTATGTCCAGCTACCCGTATGTCCAACTACCCAAATGTCCAGCTACCCGTATGTCCAGCTACCCGTATGTCCAGCTACCCGTATGTCCAGCTACCCGTATGTCCAACTACCCGTATGTCCAACTACCCAAATGTCCAGCTACCCGTATGTCCAGCTACCCGTATGTCCAACTACCCAAATGTCCAGCTACCCGTATGTCCAGCTACCCGTATGTCCAGCTACCCGTATGTCCAGCTACCCAAATGTCCAGCTACCCGTATGTCCAGCTACCCAAGTATCCAGCTACCCTTATGTCCAGCTACCCAAGTATCCAGCTACCCGTATGTCCAGCTATCCAAGTATCCAGCTACCCGTATGTCCAACTACCCGTATGTCCAGCTACCCGTATGTCCAGCTACCAGTATGTCCAACTACCCAAATGTCCAGCTACCCGTATGTCCAGCTACCCGTATGTCCAACTACCCAAATGTCCAGCTACCCGTATGTCCAGCTACCCGTATGTCCAGCTACCCGTATGTCCAGCTACCCGTATGTCCAATAATCCAAGTGTCCATCTATCTACGTGCCGGGCTTCCAATAATCCCTGTTAGCTAATCCCATCAGACCAGGATTAAGCAATATAAGCACGTGCTCGTGGCATCAAGGGTATGAGACACTATTAAAAATGTCCATGATACTCCTTTTCATTTCCCAGAGAATTTTTTACGTTATTAAAAAAACCAACAAGTAGACCTATTAACGAGTAAAGCTAAATTATCAAATACCCCATCACCCTCTCCTCTAATCAAAGTTTCTTATAGAACTCCGCGTAAGTGCTCATCTACCGTAAAATGTTACCAATATACTGACACTTGACCAATTGATTTTTATTCTGCCCTCCCCCCTCTCCCTTCTTCCCCCCACCCAGCGGCCCAAACCTGGAGGACTACACCCTGTACCACGTGGACATGTTTATCGCCAGTTACTACCTGTGGCTCGTGCTGGCCTTTGGTTTGCCGGGAAATGTGGCCAGTATTTTTACCATCTTGTCCATGCCCACAGTCTCGTCATCAAAGGTAAGTCAGGGGGGGGGGGGGATGCGGGGGGGATGTTGTGTTTGTCATGATGTGTCACGTGGTCTACTTTAGGACTATTCAGCTATTGTATCAACAGTCCGTGACAAGTACATTGTATGCCCCCCCCCCCCCACACACACACATACACACAAGTACAGTTATGTTAATGAAATTTCATATACAAGTATCATATAAAATTTGTAGTTCTGTATCAACTTTGCAGCGATTTCCGGTATCGGGAAGTGGAACTTATTCTACTTTCATTTTTTAAAAATCCTGTAACTTGAGAACTATTTAAGATATATGAACGAAATTTCATCTATACGATCTATTTCTCTGCCTTCTCTCAGATTTTGACTAATTTCCTTTGACCGAAAGTAGTAATTTACGCTATTTCCAATTTCTCAAAAAAAAAAACGAATATGACACTACTAATATTCCGCATTATTATACATATATTGTTTGCCGCTCACATGGTGTGTAAAAAAATTTTTCTACGAGATTCTATTCTATCTTTAAAAGTTTAAGTAATTAAAAATTGATTAAAATTATGTCTATATCCTGAGTTGCCATCCCACGTAGTGTTATATAAGAATATTTGAGAAAGTTTAGGGCAGATCACTCCCGCTTTATTTTAAATTTCAATTCATTTTCTTCAAATTGAACTTCTGTCTATTTTCTCATCCGCCATTGTTTGTGTCTTGCAGGCCCACGTGGCGATCCTGGCCGTGGCCGATATGCTGGCCATCATCTTAAAGATCACCTACCTGCTCATCTCCGAGCACTCCATCCACGTGACCGGCCCGGGCTGCGCCGTCATCATGTTCTCCCAGCAGTTCTTCACCTGCTACGTCAACTGGGTCGTCGTCGCCATGACCGCCGAGCGCTGTCTGGCCGTCTGCTTCCCTCTGCGCGTAGGCCGGATGTACACGCGACGCAAGGCCCTGCTCGTGCTGGCCTGTTTCCTGCTCATGACCTCAGCCGAGTACTTCTTCTTTTTCTGGGCCTGGGAGGAGAAACACGAGGAGGGTTACGGCTTTTGGTGTCAAATGAAAGAAGAGTACCAGCCCTTTGTCCGGAATATTTTCTACTGGCTGGACGGATTCTACTCGGCACTCTTGCCCTGTGGGTTCATCCTCATCGGCAACATCCTGATTATCATCAACATCAAAAGAGCGCGGAAGGCCCAGAGGCATTTGACCAACACGTTTGACCAGTCCACGCGGAAGGGCAGAGACCAGAGACAGATCACTATCATGTTGGTGTTGGTGTCCATCGTGTTCCTAGTCCTCAACATCCCCAACGCTGTTCTCTACTTCCTCAAACCGTACTGGGTCTACGAGGAGAATTCCTACGAGCAGGTCAAGTTCCGGTTTACCAGCCATCTGGTGCATGTGCTCTCCGATAGCAACCACGCCGTCAATTTTTACCTCTACTTTCTCAGGTGATGTGTGGGTGCGAGGATGTGTGGTATTGTTGTGTATTTGTTTAGGTGTGGTGTGGTATTGTAGTGTGTTGTTTTATTGTGTTAAATGTGCGGTTGTGTTTTTTTTTTGTTGTGTGTGTGCTTGTGTTGGTTGTGTCAGACGTGTGGTTTGATCGTGTCAAATATGTGTTAAGTGTGTGTGCTTTTGTGTTAATTGTTTCTGCAGTGTGCGTTTCTGTAGGGTGTGTTTCTGTTGCGTGTGTTTCTGTAGTTTAGTTTTCTGTAGTGTGTGTTTCTCTAGTGTGTGTTTCTGCAGTGTGTGTTTTTCTGTAGTGTGTGTTTCTGTTGCGTGTGTTTCTGTTGCGTGTGTTTCTGTAGTTTAGTTTTCTGTTGCGTCTGTTTCTGTAGTGTGTGTTTCTGTAGTGTGTGTTTCTGTAGTGTGTGTTTTTCTGTAGTGTGTGTTTCTGTTGCGTGTGTTTGTTGCGTGTGTTTCTGTAGTGTGTGTTTCTGTAGTGTGTTTCTGTTGTGTGTGTTTCTGTTGCGTGTGTTTCTGTTGCGTGTGTTTCTGTTGCGTGTGTTTCTGTAGTGTGTTTCTGTAGTGTGTGTGTTTCTGTAGTGTGTGTTTATGTAGTGTGTGTTTTTCTGTAGTGTGTTTCTTTGTTATGTTACTGTTGTGTGTGATTTGGGGTTTGATTGTATGAGGCTTGTGATTTCTTTGTGTCGAACACATTGAAGATGTGTGATTTCGTTGGAGTGTGAAATTGATTTGTATAATTTGTTTGCTTAAAGAGTATCGATGTGTAATTTTCGTTAAACGTATCAGATAAATCTAGCTAATCAACGCCGAGTCCCCATAATCACTATCAGACTTTTTTTTTCGGGGACTGGGGGGGAGGTGTGGCACTTGAAACTTTCGGGGGGCGGACTAACTTTTCCGATGGGAGGAACACTGGTATAAGTATATATTTTCTATATAAATTCTTTTTCGTTATGGGGGGGGGGGGGCGGTAGCCGTGCATCGAAAAAGGGAGGGGGGGGGGGGGGGTTGCACCGCCTAAAATAAACAGTGCCTTCAACGCCACCATCTCTTCCTCTCCACAGCATGTCCAGTTTCAGACGCCGTTTCCTAGACGCCATCCGCTGCCGGGGGCGCCGGCGTCAGGCCAGCAGCAGCCTGTACCGCACCTCCCAGACGTACGTCCACAGCGCCCCCCACGGGGAGGGCGCCTACAAGCTCAACAAAACCCACAGCTGCCACTCGCTCAAGTCCTGCAGCAACAGCAACAACAACAAGCTCATCCACAGCACATCCGGTGACGCGACCCACGCCTCGCTCATGAGCAGCAGTCAGCTCTAAGTTAACCAATGGGAATCGATGTGACATGATGGGTGTGGGATAACGTGAAGTGTGTTTCATTTCCGGTGTACATTATGTAGAATAGTATTGTTTTTTATGGCAATTTTATAAGAAATCTGTTGATGTTTAGAGGTTTATCAAGGTTTATAAATTTACCAACGTTTGTCTTATGAATATTGTTGGTCGTGGTATCTTTGGTATATTTTTGTTCATTGACTCTGATACTGTTGTGTTGGTCATTCCCTCACGGTAGAATTATTAAATATTGTTGAACATTGTCTCGAATACAATTGTTATTGGTCATCATCTCACATACAATTATTTTTGGACATTGTCTAACTTAGGCCTAACATATTGTTGTTGGTCATTCTCTCACATATAACCAGTGTTTCTTCCAGACTTTTTCTCCGGGGGGGGGGGGGGCACTTGAAATTTTCTAGGGGGGGGGGGCAGACACTGATGATACAAGTATATATTTTCTATATAAATTCCATTTCGTTCGGTGGGGGGGGGGGGGGGGTAGACTTTCTTCGGGGGACTCTGCCCCCCCCCCCCCCCGAAGAGATACCTGGAAGAAACTCTGCATATAATTATTGTTTGTCATTCGATCACATACAATTTTTGTTGGTTGTTGTCTATATTTCAACATTTTCTCTACTTCAAATACTGTTGGCCATTTTCTCTCAATCCGCCGTTGTTGACCAAGGTCTCCCATGATTTGATATTGTTTTTGTAGGTTTTGGAATGCCCGAAAAAAATGAAAGCAGTAGATGAAATGGCAGTTAGACACGAACCTCTGACCCAAGGGGCCGACAGACAAGAGGTATCACATGCCAGTGTCAGGGGATCACTTTTTTTTTCTTTACGGCGTTGCGAGTTATCCTTCCTTGTTACTAAAAAATAGATCGTTGTATTTCTGTTGTTTTTTGTTGTTTTTTTTTCGTTGTTTTTATGGGCTACTATAAGTTTGTACGTTTTTTAATAATTGTGATATTTGTAAAACAAAATTAAAGCTCAAGATTTGACATGTTTTGTTTTTGAATTTACAACAGTACTGATGTATTTTGTGTTAGTTTTGTCCATTAGTTAAGTGAATCTAGGTCATTAACCTTAGCCTTATCCCTATACCTAACGAATCACTAAACCTATCATATCCACATCAATATCCTAAATGACCGGGGTAGAATTGGCTTTTAGGTATTTGTTCTATGGGGTCACCCCTAAATGACGTCACGCTATTTTTGACGATTTTTATCTTCCCCCCCCCCCCCACCCCTCCGTCACACATCGTCACAAAAAGCAAACACCTTGTCAAAATAGAGTATTTAAATCAACTCCGATTGCAATTTATTAAAACAGGTTTCTAAAACGCAAAATGACGTCTAAAATTCGTTTTCTAACATTGCTTTTTTTATAATGCAAAAATGTGAAGTCCACCATCTGAACCTCCTCATCACACGCCGTCACAAAATTACTCACCCCCCCCCCCCCCCCCCTACGAGTGTGACGTCATTTATGGACAATACCCTAAGGGGGGGGGGGATAATTACGATAGGAGGCAATAGACGATGGGTAATGGTGGTGGTGGGGGGGGGGTAATGACAATAGGAGGCAATAGACGATGGGTAATGTCCTGGCCCCAGGGTGGGTCGATAATATTATCTATACAGATATGTTACATAATATGTTGAATGTCCCGTATGTTTTGTCACGCTCGGCATATCGATCTCGACCTAATTATAGATCTTTACCCTTGATATGCCTGTGTGTACCACAAGTTAAAATTACTGACCCATTCACATGATGACCTCATTCAAATTCAAAGGTTGATAAATTAAGGCTGCTGGTGAAGGCATGACGTTAGCTTGTGAGAACTAGACTAGTGCTAAAAGTACGCCAAGTCACAAAATAAACAGATGAGAAATAGCAATCACAAATTCGAATTCACTAGAGAAAATAAAGCGGGAGTGATCTCCAATAAAACTTTCTCGAATATTCTTATTATAACATTACGTGGGATGGCAATTCGGGATATAGACGTGTTTTTTAATCAATTTTTACACACTTTTAAAAATAGAATCTCGGCTATTTGTCTTGTCGGCCTTTTGGATGTCGGCCTTTTGTCCTACACCGAAGTTCTAGATACATGTTCATGTGCTCTGTATGGGTCTAGGACAAAATGCCGACAGAGCACATGAACATGTATCTAGAACATGTATCTAGAACATGTATCTAGAACATGTATCTAGAACATGTATCTAGAACATGTATGTTGCATTACTTTGATCAGATTGTAGGACACCTAAAACAGTCCCAGTATGGTAGAAAATGAACCCTGTTGTTGATTTCAGTGGGAAAGTTCCCAACTGACCTGGACGTCCATGTGTCTCCTCTCAGTGTAAATAAACTTTAGGCCTATATTTTTCTTCAGGATGTGTAAACAAATATTGGAACATGTTGCGTCCTCAGCAAATACAAACAAAACATAAAACTTGAGAACATAATCCTATCATGTTCAATAAATTAAAAACGAAGAATGATTCTCCCTAGAAAGGGGTTGTGGTAACTAAGAAAATAATTTATTTTAATTTTTTTAAATGTATATTCAGATATACTTTCTTCAACAAAAAATATAGTGAACTACAGTGAAAAAATATAGATTTAAATTAATTTTCAAATTAATCATCATTATTACAAAATATGTACAATTTATTTCATAATGGTAAAAATATTTTCATATAATTAAATTAAAGTAACATTCTAATTCACATTTTATTTTGAATAGCTTGGAAGTTTTATAAAACAACATTTTATTCCAACCAGTGCACTAGAATGAGAACATTAAAAAGTGATTGTTTTTTTTTAACTGTACAAAGTGAAAAAAAATACATTGTGATTCAACTTTTTGATCAACATAAGATTAACAACCAATCTCTGTAATGTGTACTAAAAATGTCAGTCAATATTTACATTGCATAAAGTGAGCAAAAGCATGATCATACAGTTCATTATGTGGCTTAATTTTTTTAGTCAGTGCAAAGTTATCTAAATCATCTAAATCAGATAGATGCCAAATTTATTAAATATGTGATCTAAATTAGACAGGGGCCAAATTTATTAAATATGTAATCCAAATCAAATAGATGCCAAATTTATTAAATCTGTGATCTAAATTAGACAGGGGCCAAATTTATTAAATATGTGATCCAAATCAAATAGATGCCAAATTTATTAAATCTGTGATCTAAATTAGACAAGGGGCCAAATTTATTAAATATGTAATCCAAATCAAATAGATGCCAAATTTATTAAATCTGTGATCTAAATTAGACAGGTGCCAAATTTATTAAATATGTGATCCAAATCAAATAGATGCCAAATTTATTAAATCTGTGATCTAAATTAGACAGGTGCCAAATTTATTAAATATGTGATCCAAATCAAATAGATGCCAATGTTATTAAATCTGTAATCTAAATTAGACAGGGGCCAAATTTATTAAATATGTGATCCAAATCAAATAGATGCCAAATTTATTAAATCTGTGATCTAAATTAGACAAGGGCCAAATTTATTAAATATGTAATCCAAATCAAATAGATGCCAAATTTATTAAATCTGTGATCTAAATTAGACAGGGGCCAAATTTATTAAATATGTGATCCAAATCAAATAGATGCCAAATTTATTAAATCTGTGATCTAAATTAGACAGGTGCCAAATTTAGTAAATATGTGAACAGAATCAGATGGATGCCAAAATTATTTAATGTGTGTTCCAAATTGATTAAGCAGATCAATTAAATAGGTTTGGCATGCCCCTTGATTAACTTAATCAGCAAGTCAGGCAATTAAACCCCCACTCAGCAGGTAAGCTCTGGAGTAACTCTTTAAGTATTGAAACCAGAAAAAAATATTCACAAGGAAAATTTGTTTTTTCAGTTGCAATTCATGACCTAATATACACATGACCCCACATAAAATACGTAGTGTAGACATGATCTACTTTTATAAAGTCTGAATGTTGATAATATAAACAAGTTGACTTCCAGTACTTGATGAATGTTCCACTTAACGAAGGTAATGTACATGATCATGTGTTATATTTCTGTATGTTCAATATGATTATGGCCAGTTGAATAAAAATTGTCAGGTAAACCACCGGGACTGTTTGAGAATCGCGTGATGCCTTCGTCGAGATCTGGAAAATGTTTGCTTGATAACCCCAGCTGACTTTGGCTCATGGACCCGTCGTACTCGTCACTGTCGAAGGCGGCGTTCTCGTACGCTTCCAGAACTTCCTTCAGCTTGGGGTTGGTGCCACTCAGGTGGGTGGGGCTGTCAGAGGTGGTGTTTGCTATCTGCATGACCACTTCCTGTTCCTCGTCTGGTTCTGCCTGCAGCTCTGTCTGGTCCTGTGGTGCGGCATAGACGGCATTGACATCCAGTGAGTTGTGGCTGTTGGGGGAAAAATTGTTTTTTTAAACTAGAACTTAAGAACTGAAGAGACATTTATGCAAAAAAATGTAAATGTATACCTCTGTTTTTAAAACTAGAACTGGATAATTATTTAGAGTATTTTGTGCTGATAGATTTATTGAGATTAAAACTAAAAAAGAATGAAGAGAAATTTTTAAGGATGGATAAACTAAAAGAACAAAGAGAAATTTATAAGGCTTTATAAACTAAAAGAACTAAGAGCAATTTGTAAGCATTTATAAACTAAAAGAACTAAGAGCAATTTGTAAGCATTTATAAACTAAAAGAACAAAGAGAAATTTATAAGGCTTTATAAACTAAAAGAACTAAGAGCAATTTGTAAGCATTTATAAACTAAAAGAACTAAGAGAAATTTGTAAGGCTTAATAAACTAAAAGAAGAAAGAGAAATTTGTAAGGATTTAGAAAATTAAAAAGACATAAAATTAAAAGTCCAAACAACAATTGGTTAGTGAACAAATGCAGGAAAATTAGCCAGAAGTGCAGTACTAAGAACACTGTATAAACATCTAGCAGTTTATAAATTAATGTATGGATTAAGAGACTGACAAGATGAGCCTATTTACAAACAAAGTTATTACATAAGCCAAGAGCATAATAAGCCAAATTATTCTGAAGTGTCATTTTATGTACAAAAATAAGTTGAGTTCCTGCTAATTAAAAAGACAGGTATTGTCAATTGTCAAAACTGATGAATTAACCAATGATTAAAGCTGATATATTAGCCAATGATTATAGCTTATATATTAGCCAATGATTATAGCTGATATATTAGCCAATGATTAAAGCTGATATAATAGCAAATGATTAAAGCTGATACATTAGCCAATGATTAAAGCTGATACATTAGCCAATGATTAAAGCTGAAACATTAGCCAATGATTAAAGCTGATACATTAGCCAATGATTAAAGCTGAAACATTAGCCAATGATTAAAGCTGATACATTAGCCAATGGTTAAAGCTGAAACATTAGCCAATGATTAAAGCTGAAACATTAGCCAATGATTAAAGCTGATATAATAGCAAATGATTAAAGCTGATACATTAGCCAATGATTAAAGCTGATACATTAGCCAATCTTTACCTGGTCTTGTCATCATCAAGCACAGCATGCTTGATCTCCTTCCCAAACAGTGGGTTTTCCCTGAAAGGTGGGAATTACAACACATTAGAGAAAATATAAACCATCACCTGACATAGATCAGCGTGATTAAATTTCCAAATAATAAAAAACAGTCAAAAACAGAAAATTTAATTTTGTGTTTTTAAGAATGTTTGAGAAAGTTTACCACTTTTTTTTTGGACTTTTTTTTTGCTTTAACTTTAAATAAATAAACTAATAAAATAAAATTAAAATAATAATTATAATTAATATTATTATTAATATTATTATTTTAAAAAATGAATCAAAAGGACTGGGGTAGATGTAGATGCTTGGATGATCAGAATGAAAGGATGTTTTTATTCCTGTTTTACCTTAACTCTCTTATTTCAGCAGTCACCCTTCATACCATGTACACCTTTCATACCATGTACACCTTTCATACCATGTACACCTTTCATACCATGTACACCTTTCATACCATGTACAGCCTTCATACCATGTACAGCCTTCATACCATGTACACCCTTCATATCATGTACACCCTTCATACCATGTACAGCCTTCATACCATGTACACCCTTCATACCATGTACACCCTTCATACCATGTACACCCTTCATACCATGTACACCCTTCAAATATTCATTGACTCATAGATCTAACTATCTCTATCTGCAAGCTACACTCAAGTTTTGGTTCCTGTAACTAGAACCACTACAACTCCATGAAAGAAAGATAACTCACGCAGCATAATATTTGTTTGTCCCTGGATGCTCATAGAGTTCCTGTTCCTTGGTTGTAGCTGCAAAAGACCGACATGAACAGTTGAACTCACAAACACAAATCTAACCATGTCAGATCTATCTTGACAAAATACAGACATGAACAGTTGAACTCACAAACACAAATCTAACCATGTCAGATCTATCTTGACAAAATACAGACATGAACAGTTGAACTCACAAACACAAATCTAACCATGTCAGATCTATCTTGACAAAATACAGACATGAACAGTTGAACTCACAAACACAAATCTAACCATGTCAGATCTATCTTGACAAAATACAGACATGAACAGTTGAACTCACAAACACAAATCTAACCATGTCAGATCTATCTTGACAAAATACAGACATGAACAGTTGAACTCACAAACACAAATCTAACCATGTCAGATCTATCTTGACAAAATACAGACATGAACAGTTGAACTCACAAACACAAATCTAACCATGTCAGATCTATCTTGACAAAATACAGACATGAACAGTTGAACACACAAACACAAATCTAACCATGTCAGATCTATCTTGACAAAATACAGACATGAACAGTTGAACTCACAAAGACAAATCTAACCATGTCAGATCTATCTTGACAAAATACAGACATGAACAGTTGAACACACAAACACAAATCTAACCATGTCAGATCTATCTTGACAAAATACAGAGATGAACAGTTGAACACACAAACACAAATCTAACCATGTCAGATCTATCTTGACAAAATACAGACATGAACAGTTGAACTCACAAACACAAATCTAACCATGTCAGATCTATCTTGACAAAATACAGACATGAACAGTTGAACTCACAAACACAAATCTAACCATGTCAGATCTATCTTGACAAAATACAGACATGAACAGTTGAACTCACAAACACAAATCTAACCATGTCAGATCTATCTTGACAAAATACAGACATGAACAGTTGAACACACAAACACAAATCTAACCATGTCAGATCTATCTTGACAAAATACAGACATGAACAGTTGAACTCACAAACACAAATCTAACCATGTCAGATCTATCTTGACAAAATACAGACATGAACAGTTGAACTCACAAACACAAATCTAACCATGTCAGATCTCTCTTGACAAAATACAGACATGAACAGTTGAACTCACAAACACAAATCTAACCATGTCAGATCTATCTTGACAAAATACAGACATGAACAGTTGAACACACAAACACAAATCTAACCATGTCAGATCTATCTTGACAAAATACAGACATGAACAGTTGAACACACAAACACAAATCTAACCATGTCAGATCTATCTTGACAAAATACAGACATGAACAGTTGAACTCACAAACACAAATCTAACCATGTCAGATCTATCTTGACAAAATACAGACATGAACAGTTGAACTCACAAACACAAATCTAACCATGTCAGATCTATCTTGACAAAATACAGACATGAACAGTTGAACTCACAAACACAAATCTAACCATGTCAGATCTATCTTGACAAAATACAGACATGAACAGTTGAACTCACAAACACAAATCTAACCATGTCAGATCTATCTTGACAAAATACAGACATGAACAGTTGAACACACAAACACAAATCTAACCATGTCAGATCTATCATGACAAAATACAGACATGAACAGTTGAACACACAAACACAAATCTAACCATGTCAGATCTATCTTAACAAAATACAGACATGAACAGTTGAACACACAAACACAAATCTAACCATGTCAGATCTATCTTGACAAAATACAGACATGAACAGTTGAACTCACAAACACAAATCTAACCATGTCAGATCTATCTTGACAAAATACAGACATGAACAGTTGAACACACAAACACAAATCTAACCATGTCAGATCTATCTTGACAAAATACAGACATGAACAGTTGAACTCACAAACACAAATCTAACCATGTCAGATCTATCTTGACAAAATACAGACATGAACAGTTGAACTCACAAACACAAATCTAACCATGTCAGATCTATCTTGACAAAATACAGACATGAACAGTTGAACACACAAACACAAATCTAACCATGTCAGATCTATCTTGACAAAATACAGACATGAACAGTTGAACTCACAAACACAAATCTAACCATGTCAGATCTATCTTGACAAAATACAGACATGAACAGTTGAACTCACAAACACAAATCTAACCATGTCAGATCTATCTTGACAAAATACAGACATGAACAGTTGAACACACAAACACAAATCTAACCATGTCAGATCTATCTTGACAAAATACAGACATGAACAGTTGAACTCACAAACACAAATCTAACCATGTCAGATCTATCTTGACAAAATACAGACATGAACAGTTGAACTCACAAACACAAATCTAACCATGTCAGATCTATCTTGACAAAATACAGACATGAACAGTTGAACTCACAAACACAAATCTAACCATGTCAGATCTATCTTGACAAAATACAGACATGAACAGTTGAACACACAAACACAAATCTAACCATGTCAGATCTATCATGACAAAATACAGACATGAACAGTTGAACACACAAACACAAATCTAACCATGTCAGATCTATCTTAACAAAATACAGACATGAACAGTTGAACACACAAACACAAATCTAACCATGTCAGATCTATCTTGACAAAATACAGACATGAACAGTTGAACTCACAAACACAAATCTAACCATGTCAGATCTATCTTGACAAAATACAGACATGAACAGTTGAACTCACAAACACAAATCTAACCATGTCAGATCTATCTTGACAAAATACAGACATGAACAGTTGAACTCACAAACACAAATCTAACCATGTCAGATCTATCTTGACAAAATACAGACATGAACAGTTGAACTCACAAACACAAATCTAACCATGTCAGATCTATCTTGACAAAATACAGACATGAACAGTTGAACACACCAACACAAATCTAACCATGTCAGATCTATCTTGACAAAATACAGACATGAACAGTTGAACACACAAACACAAATCTAACCATGTCAGATCTATCTTGACAAAATACAGACATGAACAGTTGAACTCACAAACACAAATCTAACCATGTCAGATCTATCTTGACAAAATACAGACATGAACAGTTGAACACACAAACACAAATCTAACCATGTCAGATCTATCTTGACAAAATACAGACATGAACAGTTGAACACACAAACACAAATCTAACCATGTCAGATCTATCTTGACAAAATACAGACATGAACAGTTGAACTCACAAACACAAATCTAACCATGTCAGATCTATCTTGACAAAATACAGAGATGAACAGTTGAACTCACAAACACAAATCTAACCATGTCAGATCTATCTTGACAAAATACAGACATGAACAGTTGAACTCACAAAGACAAATCTAACCATGTCAGATCTATCTTGACAAAATACAGACATGAACAGTTGAACACACAAACACAAATCTAACCATGTCAGATCTATCTTGACAAAATACAGACATGAACAGTTGAACTCACAAAGACAAATCTAACCATGTCAGATCTATCTTGACAAAATACAGACATGAACAGTTGAACTCACAAACACAAATCTAACCATGTCAGATCTATCTTGACAAAATACAGACATGAACAGTTGAACTCACAAACACAAATCTAACCATGTCAGATCTATCTTGACAAAATACAGACATGAACAGTTGAACTCACAAACACAAATCTAACCATGTCAGATCTATCTTGACAAAATACAGACATGAACAGTTGAACACACAAACACAAATCTAACCATGTCAGATCTATCTTGACAAAATATAGACATGAACAGTTGAACTCAAAAACACAAATCTAACCATGTCAGATCTATCTTGACAAAATACAGACATGAACAGTTGAACTCACAAAGACAAATCTAACCATGTCAGATCTATCTTGACAAAATACAGACATGAACAGTTGAACTCACAAACACAAATCTAACCATGTCAGATCTATCTTGACAAAATACAGACATGAACAGTTGAACTCACAAACACAAATCTAACCATGTCAGATCTATCTTGACAAAATACAGACATGAACAGTTAAACTCACAAACACAAATCTAACCATGTCAGATCTATCTTGACAAAATACAGACATGAACAGTTGAACTCACAAACACAAATCTAACCATGTCAGATCTATCTTGACAAAATACAGACATGAACAGTTGAACACACAAACACAAATCTAACCATGTCAGATCTATCTTGACAAAATATAGACATGAACAGTTGAACTCAAAAACACAAATCTAACCATGTCAGATCTATCTTGACAAAATACAGACATGAACAGTTGAACTCACAAAGACAAATCTAACCATGTCAGATCTATCTTGACAAAATACAGACATGAACAGTTGAACTCACAAACACAAATCTAACCATGTCAGATCTATCTTGACAAAATACAGACATGAACAGTTGAACACACAAACACAAATCTAACCATGTCAGATCTATCTTGACAAAATACAGACATGAACAGTTGAACTCACAAACACAAATCTAACCATGTCAGATCTATCTTGACAAAATACAGACATGAACAGTTGAACTCACAAACACAAATCTAACCATGTCAGATCTATCTTGACAACATACAGACATGAACAGTTGAACTCACAAACACAAATCTAACCATGTCAGATCTATCTTGACAAAATACAGACATGAACAGTTGAACTCACAAACACAAATCTAACCATGTCAGATCTATCTTGACAAAATACAGACATGAACAGTTGAACACACCAACACAAATCTAACCATGTCAGATCTATCTTGACAAAATACAGACATGAACAGTTGAACACACAAACACAAATCTAACCATGTCAGATCTATCTTGACAAAATACAGACATGAACAGTTGAACTCACAAACACAAATCTAACCATGTCAGATCTATCTTGACAAAATACAGACATGAACAGTTGAACACACAAACACAAATCTAACCATGTCAGATCTATCTTGACAAAATACAGACATGAACAGTTGAACACACAAACACAAATCTAACCATGTCAGATCTATCTTGACAAAATACAGACATGAACAGTTGAACTCACAAACACAAATCTAACCATGTCAGATCTATCTTGACAAAATACAGAGATGAACAGTTGAACTCACAAACACAAATCTAACCATGTCAGATCTATCTTGACAAAATACAGACATGAACAGTTGAACTCACAAAGACAAATCTAACCATGTCAGATCTATCTTGACAAAATACAGACATGAACAGTTGAACACACAAACACAAATCTAACCATGTCAGATCTATCTTGACAAAATACAGACATGAACAGTTGAACTCACAAAGACAAATCTAACCATGTCAGATCTATCTTGACAAAATACAGACATGAACAGTTGAACTCACAAACACAAATCTAACCATGTCAGATCTATCTTGACAAAATACAGACATGAACAGTTGAACTCACAAACACAAATCTAACCATGTCAGATCTATCTTGACAAAATACAGACATGAACAGTTGAACTCACAAACACAAATCTAACCATGTCAGATCTATCTTGACAAAATACAGACATGAACAGTTGAACACACAAACACAAATCTAACCATGTCAGATCTATCTTGACAAAATATAGACATGAACAGTTGAACTCAAAAACACAAATCTAACCATGTCAGATCTATCTTGACAAAATACAGACATGAACAGTTGAACTCACAAAGACAAATCTAACCATGTCAGATCTATCTTGACAAAATACAGACATGAACAGTTGAACTCACAAACACAAATCTAACCATGTCAGATCTATCTTGACAAAATACAGACATGAACAGTTGAACTCACAAACACAAATCTAACCATGTCAGATCTATCTTGACAAAATACAGACATGAACAGTTGAACTCACAAACACAAATCTAACCATGTCAGATCTATCTTGACAAAATACAGACATGAACAGTTGAACTCACAAACACAAATCTAACCATGTCAGATCTATCTTGACAAAATACAGACATGAACAGTTGAACACACAAACACAAATCTAACCATGTCAGATCTATCTTGACAAAATATAGACATGAACAGTTGAACTCAAAAACACAAATCTAACCATGTCAGATCTATCTTGACAAAATACAGACATGAACAGTTGAACTCACAAAGACAAATCTAACCATGTCAGATCTATCTTGACAAAATACAGACATGAACAGTTGAACTCACAAACACAAATCTAACCATGTCAGATCTATCTTGACAAAATACAGACATGAACAGTTGAACACACAAACACAAATCTAACCATGTCAGATCTATCTTGACAAAATACAGACATGAACAGTTGAACTCACAAACACAAATCTAACCATGTCAGATCTATCTTGACAAAATACAGACATGAACAGTTGAACACACAAACACAAATCTAACCATGTCAGATCTATCTTAACAAAATACAGACATGAACAGTTGAACTCACAAACACAAATCTAACCATGTCAGATCTATCTTGACAAAATACAGACATGAACAGTTGAACTCACAAACACAAATCTAACCATGTCAGATCTATCTTAACAAAATACAGACATGAACAGTTGAACACACAAACACAAATCTAACCATGTCAGATCTATCTTGACAAAATACAGACATGAACAGTTGAACACACAAACACAAATCTAACCATGTCAGATCTATATTGACAAAATACAGACATGAACAGTTGAACACACAAACACAAATCTAACCATGTCAGATCTATCTTGACAAAATACAGACATGAACAGTTGAACACACAAACACAAATCTAACCATGTCAGATCTATCTTGACAAAATACAGACATGAACAGTTGAACACACAAACACAAATCTAACCATGTCAGATCTATCTTGACAAAATACAGACATGAACAGTTGAACTCACAAACACAAATCTAACCATGTCAGGTCTATCTTGACAAAATACAGACATGAACAGTTGAACTCACAAACACAAATCTAACCATGTCAGATCTATCTTGACAAAATACAGACATAAACAGTTGAACTCACAAACACAAATCTAACCATCTAACAAAATTGACTCAATAGTTGGTGGAATGTATAAGTTATCAGTCAGGGTCAGGTTTTCTTGGTCAGTTCTATTTATAAAAATTATTTATGTATAAACTAACAGCTTTCAACAGATGTAACTGAAAAAAAATAGAACAAATCAGTGTTTGTCTCCCTTACCATAAGCCATAGTTGTAGCTGCTCTCAAACGATGCCGATACCTATTGACAAAAAGTATTTTTTTTATATTTGTCACACCAACAGATGTTAAAAAATTATTCACATTGTAGGATATTTTTTTCATGATAAGTTATTAAACTTGTAGGCCTACCAAAGACAACTAATATAAGTTTATCACATTTATCTACATAATATCGTATTATACATATATATATTTAAATGTATATATACAAATATATCTATATCTAAATCTAAATATCTATATATCTATATATCTATATCTATATATATCTATATATCTATATCTATATACATATATATATATATATATATATATATTTATATATATGTAGTGAATTTTCTAACAGATTACTTACATTCTGATTAAGTGCACGATGACCAGTAGAAAAGCCAGTATGATGCAGGATAACACAGCTGTGACAATAGCAAATGTCCTAGTCCACTCCTCATCTGAATTCACTTGTTGCACAGGCTGCACTATCTGTTGGGGTCATAGGTCAATACACAGGTTAAAGGACATTCATTAATGATGGTTGACTGTGGTCAATACACAGGTTAAAGGACATTACATTAATGCTGGTTAAGTGTGGTCAGTACACAGGTTAAAGGACATTCATTCACTATACAGATAGAGACCATCACTCATAGCTGAGTTAAATTTTGAAATAGTAGGAAGAGGTGAAAGTGAATGGAACTATGATACACTAGGAAAGAAGAAGCAAATGTTCTTATGATATGATGGGTGGGACAAGTGAATGGAACTATGATTTTGTAAGAAAGAAAAAGAGGCAGCCAAGAACTTACAGATGTTACAGAATGCATATGTGATGACAATAACAGGTAGTTAAACAACTCTAACAATGCCAGGCTAGTTAACTGAATGAACTGGAGATCCAGTCCAGCTTTTACAATAAATGTTGTTTTTTTAAAAACACAACATTTTTTATACTCACCAATGCCTCAGTGATTCCACTCTCAGACATTAGTTTCCTCACTTCTGAGTTATGGTCAAATCGCCTAGAGATTTATTTATTGTAGTAGTTAATATCAGCATTTATAAATGTTTAAGTTTAAGGTACATGAAAAATATATTTACAAATATTTATTTATTAATTAATTATTTATTTATTAAATATATCTTACAAATATTTATATTACACCAACTTCAATCCATTTACTATGTTATATCCATACAATAAAAAAATTAATTGCTACATATTTTATCTGCCATTCCAGTTACATTGAAAAAAAATATTTCTATTTCTGAATCTACTATGTATAAGATATCTGATTCCCCAAGCTAACCTGCTACATATTTTATCTACCATTCTGGTTACACTTTTTTTTTTATTTCTGTATCTGCTGTCTATAAAATATCTGCTTCCCCAACTAACCTGCTAGATATTTTATCTGCTACTCCAGTTACACTGAGAAAATTTTTATTTCTGTATCTGCTATCTATAAGATATCTGTTTCATTTACTGACCTGGATAAGTCTGTGGCATCCACAATCTTCCATGTAACATTATCATGGCCATGAATAAATGCATCTGTTCTGTAGATGAGCAAAAAATTGACATTTTAGGGCTTCAAATAAGAAAAAGTTATGCAAAAAAATATTTGAATAGTTAAACAAAAAATAGTTAATTATTGTTGAAATTGTGTCTACAAGGTAGTCCAATTATCCAAAGATATAAAACAATATTTTTAATGTACCAAATACAAAGATAAATTTTATTAATGGTAATATTATTTTAGGTAAAAACATAAATAGTTTGCTTTAACAAAACTAGGCAAAAAAATTGTTAAAAATAAATAAATTGAAATAAACACGAAAATTAAGTTATGAATAGGGTAAAGTTTTAATAGACTCACTTGGTTGGATCAAGTGTGCCGTCACTCAATGTGTGTGTCACAACTTTATCAATGACAAGCTCTATGCCCAAAATAGCTGACAGTCGCCTGAAACAAAGACGTTAACCTTAGTATTCCCAAACTCTAATTCAACATCATTCATTAATATAACCAGATCTTATTCAGTAATTGTAATTTATTTTCTACTACTCAATCACAAAATAATTGCAATAGTAACCAGATTGAATGTCATTTGTTATTATTTTTTATTTTATGTTAATGTACCTGACAAAATCATTTTTTATTTTTTCTACTTCATTGGTTGGCCTATTAAAGACGAGTTGAACTCTTTGAGAATTTGCCACAATAAAAACCTGTTAAGATTGAAAATAAATTTAAATTTAATATTAATTTTAATTTAATAAATTTAAATATTTATGAATCTATTTTCTCAAGAGAAAGAAGAAGACTCTGTACCTCATTATTGTGTTAAAAAAGTAAACAACAAAACTATACAAGAAGTGACTATTCTAAAACAAGTTTACTTTTATTTACACAACTTAACATAATATTGGTTTTAAAGTTTAAAGGTATTTCACAATTATAAACTTCATTTACTTATATATTGCAAATTGTTAAGTACTGCAACAAGCAGAGGTGTAGTGAAGGGGGTGACACCAAGACAAAAAGCTTATACACATACATGTATGCGTATGCGGCTTATATTTACATTATAGGTCAATGTAGGCTGACACAAACATACAGATGTGTGTATATATATATATATATATATATATATATATATATATATATATATATATATATATATATATATATTACTTTGTTTCTTGGGGGGGGGGGATGACACCAAGAAGTGCCGCACCGGGTGACACCCGACCTAGTGACGCCACTAACAACAGTATTGTTTTATTACAGGCCTACATTAAACAAGCAGGGCATGACAACTCACTTTGACGTCAGCTGTGTCTTTTTGCTTTATATCATCATACACTTCTATTGATATCCCATAATAGCCAATGATGTCAGACCTGAATCTGATGTTGGTTCTTAAAGAACCAGTTGAAGACAAACTAAAATCATCATTGGATGTCTGAGGAAGGCTTATGTTAAAATGTGGTTCCACTGACAAAATCCTGAACATATTTTTGCTGTTCACTGGTGTATCTGCATCTGTAATGCTAGTCTGTCAGAATAAAAAAAATACTTCATAATGAGTTTAATAGAAATTGTTATATCAAAGTAGTTTAAATATAATTCCTCATAATATTGTAAATAAAATTCTCCACAATAAGTTCCAATTTTAAAAATTCATTACAAGGTAGATCTATATTTTAGAATTTGAATTAGGTAAATTTAAATGTTTAAAAACCAGATAAATAAAGTTTTATAATGAAGTACATTTCTTTATAACAGTTACTGATTTGTAACAAAGCTAACTACAAATATAAAACCATTCAAAGTCATTATTTCACTTGGAACCATAACTATTAGGCCTTTGTATCTAATTTAATAAATTAATAATAAAATAATTAATTCATTTAAAAAATAATAACTAATGAAAAAGACATAACTAAGCCAAAAAAACAAGAAAGCAATTCATAATCCATTATTCTATTGTCAAATTGAATTATGTTTTTATTTAATCAGCTACTGTATAGGGAATAGATAAAGAACCAGTCGACTTACCAAAAGTGACATAACTTCAGTGTTTTTCTCAGCATCAAACAGGACTGCAGTGAGAAGTGTTTTATCAATGAACTTGGGTGGGCTGTCATTGATGTCCTCAACCTCTACTCTAACCCAGAGCAAGGAGTCATCTGACTGGTTGTATGCAGAGGGCAGTGGAGTGATGGAGAAAGAATTTGGACTGCTAGAACTGCTTGGCTCAGACTTCACAAATGTTGTATTGCAGGGTAAAGCTTGAATAACTATGTCCAGATATTGGACCATCTCTCTGTCCAGTTTTTCTTTTAGGGACAATCTACCAGTGCTGTTATTAAGGACCAAGCTAGCTAAGCTATCTCCTCCTGAGAAAGAAATTACATTTCACAATTTCAATAAATATTTAAAACACTTATACCAGAAAGATATTGCCAATTTTTCAAAAGGAGAAATTGTGGAATTCAGAGGAGAAATGTATTGAAATTCAAAGCTTGAACAAAATTGCATTCAGATTATAATTAGTTAAATTAAATTTGTCTCCATATGCAAAATTTATTTATTAGACAAAAGTTTACTTTAAAAATAAAATTCATTATTAAAAATTTTAGAATCTAAACAAGTAATTTGATGTAGCAGTATAAAAATATGTTAGGATAAGCTGTTCTATATTTTAAGAGCTAGAAAACAAAACAATTTTAAAATGTGTCTTTGAGCAATGAAACAACCTACCATAGAGTCTGTAGCAAGTCACATTATATGGGGACTGGTCTTTATCTTGTGCAGGCAGAACAGTGCCAATGACAGCTGTGCTGTTTTCTTCTTTAACACTCAGCATCTGTGGCATGGTCACTGCACTGTACACTGGGGGGTTATCGTCTATGTCCACTAGTTTTACCCTCATGGTCAGGAGAGTGGACAGTTGGGCAGGCTGGCCATTGTCTTCTGCTCTAACTTGAATCTTTTGTGCAGAAAGATTAAAAGTAATTTTAAAACCAATGTGGGCCTACAAGTTGGGTTATTCATAATTTAAGAGTGTTTGGTTGTTGCAACTGCAGTACTATCACATTTTAGGATTCAAATAAAGCTAGTGTTGTTGTAAGAGGTATAGTTACGGTTATTGTTTTAGACAGAATTAGAGTTGGCTTGGTAATTAGTTCTTTACTATATGATCCCTAATCTCCTTGAATGAAAATACATATATTGTTGTTTTCAGTTAATTGTTTATTTTCTTTTAACAGGAAAAAGTATCTGTTTTCTCGATGCACTCCGATTTTTGTTAAATAAAAAGTCAAAATACATTAAAGGACATTGCAAACAGTTAACAGCTCAAGATCAGTCAGCTTTGGCACACAAGTTTGATTTTTATTAAAAGAATAATAATCAGTAGGCCTAGTCTAAATCTAATTCTATAAAGACCAATGAAGTTTGTCAGATAGTGATTAAAAGAAATTAAAACCTCATAAACTTCCTGGAACTCCCTGTCTAGCCTCTGATATGACGTCAAGTTTCCAGACATTCTGTCAAGTTTGAAATATTCAAAGTCTTTGTTTATTGTTGGAACCAAATAGTAGCTCACAACACCATTCTGACCTTGATCTGCATCTGTGGCTGACAGTACTGTCACAAGAGATCCAATACTTTGTTCCTGGTGAAATAAAAAATGGGAAGTGTTTACACAGTACAAAACAAATGTATCAATCAAATTTTGTTTAATTTTATATACAAAATGTTAGGTTTTCTAAGCAACTAGTATTAGGATTTCCTTGCCCATCCAAGCTGTGTTAGAAGAGTGAGCAATATTCCCATTTTCAGGTGGATTGTCTGGCTGTTCACATTTAGTTTACAGTTGTGTGGGTTTGTCAGTTGATTAATCCATGTTCCTGACTAATCCATAGACCCATTTTACAAACATCATACATTTGGTTACTTTAGTAAAAAGTTCCCTTTTGAACCTAACAGCATATGAAGGGATAGTGTAGTCAGCACTGTGCCCAGTCGCCTTTACTATTAGAGCTTGGTGGACTCAGGGACATTCTTAAATCCGGATTCGAACTTGAGACTTAGCAGTTGTATACTCTACCATTCAACTACTCCATCCCATGATTGATTTCGAAGCCAACAAAAGAACTTTTTATCAAACGATGTTTATTTCTCAGTTTAAAACAAAGATTATTTTTAAAATAAGTATTAACGCTTGTTTTTCTATAAAATTTTGCCCGATTATTAATAAATCAAGCACTTTAATTGGGAATGAAATTACACCGTTTAAACAAAGCTTCTTCCAATATAAAGTTTTATTTTTCATTATTTTCTTACACCTGGTAGATCTATACTTTGACAATTAGTTAAGATAAAAAAAATTATTTTAGAAATTATAAAATTATACTATCAACAGCACTACCTGAATTTGCATCATTTTATTTCTACTCACATGAAAATAAGCAGGTGAGGGAAGTTAAAAATTCCTTACTTCAAAGACTGAGACTTCTGGCAGAATCCCAGCCGTGGCATTAAACAAGCTCTGTTTAGGGTGTATAAATACTGGGGGATGCTGGTTCTCATCCACCACAAAAATTGAAATGTCGACACTTGCATTCCGTGGTGGAGTTCCCATATCCATGGCAACCACACGCAACAATCTAGTACCAAAGTTATCAATTAAAGAGCTGCTTGTAGTGATCACAGCTGATCCATTGACATCTTTCACACTGAACAGTTTAGATCCATTGGTGTCTGGAGCAATGGAGTATTGAATCTAATATGAAAAAAATAAGATAAAGCTTTTGTTAGATATTTAAAAAATGTTCTTCAATAGAAATTTTTAAAACTGGTTTTACACAATTTTTCAAAGAACAAGATTTAACTTTTTGAATGATTTAAAAAATCTTATCATAAATCTGATAACTATTTACCTCTCTAGAGAGAGAGAAGCTTACAGCTTTGTTTGGTAACAAGGTTAAAATACATTTTCTTTTTTTATATCAATAGTCTTTATGTGAAAAGTTTTAAATTTTTAATTAGTTAAATTTAAGACTTCAAAATTTAAATTGCAGAACTAAAGTTCAATTGTAAATTTGTATTTTTTATTTTTAAAATGTTTTTAATTTTCTAAATCAAAATCAAATTGTGTACATATTCAATATGATATTGACAGCCAATGTGCTAGATAAAAGTTCTGCACCAGTTTTGAGTAATAGCCATGATATAATTTTTTACTGCTTAACGTTGTCAAGGGAACTACATTGAGAATTATATTTTTATCCTGCTTAATTGTGCCTTAAATTAATTTCATAAAATTTTCTTTTTCTGCCATTAATTGGTAACATGAAAAGTTTTAAATTCTAAATGGATGGGCCACATGTATTTATTTAAAAACCTGCACATGACTCACCTTAGCATTTAATCCTTCATCCAAGTCTGTGGCTTTGATTTCTGTTACTGGAGTTCCTACTTTAGCACTTTCTAAAACATTGACTAATGGGATGACCTGTGTCCATTTTGGGTCATTATCGTTAACGTCTGTAACTGTTATATAAACAAGGAACCTTGACCTTCGCCTTTGTGATTCAGGTTGGGATGGGTTGTCAGTGGCAACAATGGCTAGAGAATAGGAAGAGCGTTGTTCTCTGTCTAGTGGTGATGTAACAGTCAGGACACCCTGGGGAAACAACAGCCATCATGTTTCATAACTTTCAATTTAATTATATAATACTTTTGACATTTAAATTAAACTTTATAATGGAACATCATTCCAATAATTTTTTTTCTGTTAGTCTTGTTACCTATTACATTCTACTATGTAAGTTAAATCTTTGCTGGAGTTAACATTGAAGAGATTCCATTCCCCACAACAAACACAAAGTTTTCAAACTAAACTGGTTGTTTTTAAATAATATCCATTTTAAAAACAAAATAAACAGTAACATCATTCACACCAAGTGGTAAAAATAGTTGCAATGGAAGTAAACTAAACTCAAACACAAATTATCCAGTAGTTTCTAAAGTTATCCCAAACTAACACTAAAATAACATAAAACAAATAGTTAAATTAAAATGACTATAATCTCACAAATTTTAGGTTTAAAAAGAGAGTAGCCTACTCTTCAATAACATAAATTTGTGAATACTGACCAAGTGACATACTTAAATAAAAATATCAAATAATTAAAATTTCACTCATTTAATCTAGCTAAAAGTAAATAAAAACTTACGCTACTAGTGATGTTGAACTTGCCATCTACGCTGTCATCTTCTAGGCTGAAGACAACACGTCCAAAGTCCTCTGAGTCACGGTCAGTGGCTACTATTGTGGCTACTATGTAGCCAGGCTTGACATCCTCTGAGACATTGAACCTGTTTGGTTGAGTGGGGAATTCTGGGGAGTTGTCATTGGTGTCCAGAATGGTGAGCACCACGGTGGCCTGGCTGGTGTTGGTCACTTTTCCACTCATGTCCAGGGCTTCTGCTGAAATCTGACAAATAAGAGCATCACGTTATGCATGGTAATCAAGTAGGCAGATTTGTAAAGAACCTGATAGCAGTTTAAAACTTGCATTAACTAAAAGACAGTTATAGATTTGTTAGTCTCTATCTCTCTCAAACAGACATAACTGGCTCTAACAATGCTATCAAGCCTGAAAGACTGGAACAAATGAGTATTTCCTGCACCTATGTTGCCACTAGGCCCATTGTTTCAATTAGACATTGGTGTTAAACGATACTGCCCCATATCTTTAATAGTACAACATTGGATAGTCTGGCTGGTTCATTGCTTAAAATCAACCTTCCAAAAAATTAAAATTAAAATTTAAGTTCATTCTTTTTTTAATTATAATAAATAATTTATGATTTTTTGTACCTAATTTTTGTACGTGTATTTTTAAAAACATTTAGTTCGCAAGTAAAAATGGAATCAAGAAATTAATTTTCAAAATTGTTTTTTAAACAGTGTTCTAAATATTGGATGTTTTTTGGTTTTAGTCCCTTTTGGTAGTTAGTCAGTTGACTTTTTGACCTTTCTGGCAATTAACCTCTACACAATAATCAAAGTAAAAGTTAAGCTTAGATGATAGATTTAAAAGCCTATAAAAGCAAAAAACAATACTATCATGCCTGTCATATTTTATCTTTTGTCATCGACTTTTATATGTCATTGTTTATTTAAATATTATGTTATCCTTACCTGAAAAGTTATGCTTTTTATTGTTTCATAGTCAAGCACAGATGAATTTTCAACAATTATTGTGATGGTTGATCTCCCTTGAATTCTCTGACCTTGCAGTGGTATGGTGTCAAAATCTCCGTAAGCTGCCCCATTTTTCAGCACCTTGATACGAAATACAGCATTGGCTCCCTAGAACAGACGAAATAAATAGAAGGTTGATGTATTATCCCTAAAATGTATGTGGCTTTTCCTCATAACCCAGTCGATCAACTTTTCCTACTTAATATCAATTCCAATAAAAGCATGTTATTTCTCTTTCAACTATTTAATATTTATTGCAACTGTGGCTATGATCTATATATCAAAGCTCATTTTTTACCTAGTCTAAATCTCTGACTTTAATACATGGTTTAATGAAATAATATCTGATTTTTTTGAGGCATTATTTTCCTGATCTAGCTTATAACTTTTTTACCTGACCCAAGCTATAATAAAATAATATTATCTAGACTGCGTAGTAGGGCCTGTGTCTTTGGCTTAACTCACCTGATCCATAACTTTTTTTTACATGTTCTAAACCCATAACTCACCTGGTCCAGGTCGGCCACCTCTATGCTAGTGTTGATGATGGTTATAGGAACACCCCTGGCCGTGTTCTCCTGTACTGTTGCCTGATACAGTGGCTGGTTAAACGTGGGCACATTGTCGTCAACGTCCATGATGGTGATTGTTCCTCTGGTGCTCTTGGAGTAGGTCGCAGGATCGGAAGGTGTCTGGTCATTGTAGACTTCTGTAGCCTTAGAAATTAACACAACTTTTTAATTCAAGGGTCAGATATTTCTAATAGAGGAGCAACAATTTTTATATAGAAGGGACATAGGAACAACTAGATCTAGATCTAGATCTAGATCTAGCTGTACAAAAAAAATATTTTAAAACATGGAGAGCAACAACTAGTAGTATAATTTTTTTTTACTATCATTGAGGTACAACTAGCAGTACAAAATAAAACTTAAAAACATGGAGAGCAACAACTAGCAGTACAAAACAAAATTTACTATCATTGAGGTACAACTAACAGTACAAAATAAAACTTACCGTCACAGTGAAAAGATAAATTCCAGCTCGAGCAAGGCCCTCTCCCTGGTCCACATCTAAAACACCATTGACTGTTATGTCACCTGTGGCAGGATTGATCAGAAACTTGGAGGAGAAACCTGGAGAAAGTATGGAAAATATCTTTTTATTAAGGCTCATCTGTCTGTACCACTATGGTCGTTAACTTTAATCACTTGTAGCTTTAGTATTACAACTATTTGTGTATTCATGTATCACCATGACAATTATATGTGCTCACCTGTATCACCTGTATCACCACTTATATTATAATACACCAAGTTGGGTACAGCCACTCCCCTGTCCCCATCAACTGCCTTCACTGTCAGGACTGTGGTGCCCTGTAGAGAACATATCCCTGCTTGAGACTAATTGATCTGGCTAAATAAGAACCATTTTTCCAGCACTTGGAAATTTAGGTTCAAAACCACGGCAGCAAGCTGGAAGAGCCAGATGTTGCCTAGGTATGAGACCCTCTCTTGCCACAAAGCAGATGGGAGAGGCTCAGCTATCCTGCGTCCCAGAAGGTGCCCAAAGTCAGGAAACCAGTGTAGTTACTCTAAGGATCTAAGATTTTAGAGTTAGGGGTCATCCATAAAAGACGTCATGCTTTATTTGACGATTGTTACACCCATCCTTCCCCTCCGTCACACATCGCCGCAAAAAGCCTGCCCCCCCCCCCCCTTTAAATTACGTCATACCTCAGAATTTTTCTTATAACATGGGTATTTTTCCAAAATCTTGTCTGAACTTTGTCAACATAAAGTATTTTAATCAGTGGCGTAGCGAGGTCGGGTGTCACCCGGTGCGGCACTTAATGGTTTCACCCCCCAGAGGCGTAGCGACCCTTCCCGGAAACAAACTTTCAAATTTTTTATTTGCACCCCCCCCTCAAACTTTCGATTTGCACCCCCCTGAAGTTTTCGATTTGCACCCCCCCCCCCTCAAACTTTCGATTTGCACCCCCCCCCCCTCATGTTTTTCTCTATATATTTTGCTATTTTTAGCCTTGGTGTCACCCCCCTAAATGGTGTCACCCGGTGCGGTCCGCACCCCCCGCCCCCCCCCCCCCCCCCTCGCTACGCCCCTGATTTTAATCAACCAATTAAACAGTTTTCTAAAACGCGAAATAACGGCTAAAATTCATTTTCTAACACTGCTTTTATATAATGCCAAAGTGTGACGTTACACCGTCTGACGCCTCTTCTCCCCCTCATCACACACAATCACAAAATTACGGAACTCCCCCCCCCCTCCCCCCCCCCCCCTACGAGTTTGACGTCATTTATGGACGACCCTCATCTCTCCCAGATGGGTAGCTGTCTCAAGCTCACCCAATAAAACCTTACTGCTAAACGTACATTTAGAAACTGCTGTTTAATAATTACAAAAATCTATTGAAAACTTACTGGAGGTACACTTTCATTGACTACCCCCATGTATGGCAGATTTTCAAACACTGGGGGCGTGTCTTCAATGTCTGTGACAGTGAAGAAAATATCAACGACGTCAGCCTCGCAGTGGTCACTTGGGAAGCTACAGTTGCAGTTCGGCCCAGGGCAGGGTGGGGAGCCTCGATCCTGTGGGTACCCATAAAATAAACGTATCTAGATAACTAAGCAACAAATCAAAATCAATTTACAAACAGGGTTTCTTTCAGACATTCTTCTCCGGGAGATGTGGTCACTTGAAACTTCCAGAGGACGGACAATAGTTAAAACACTTATTTTTTATACATTTTTTTTCTGTTTCGCCCCCTCAGGAGGGAGACGGGTGTAGGCGTGATCCGGGGGAAGGGGGAGTGTTCCACGGTGAGATGCCTAAAAATGAAACATTACAAACAACGCAAAAAGCTTTTAAAAATCTAATTACACAAAAACTGTAAAATCTACAAGGGATTTGCCAGTCCCGCTAGGTCTCAGTGGCGTAGCGTGGGGGGTGGGTATATATGTCCCCGGGTGCCGATCTTAGGGGGCGCGAAAATGGGTTGGAAAAACAAATTGAAAGTTTGAGGGGGGGGGGTGCAAATTGAAAGTTTGAGGGCGAGGGTGCAAATTGAAAGTTTGAGTGGGGGGGGGGGGTGCAAATTGAAAGTTGAAAGGTTGTTCCCGAGAGGGGCGTCAAATTAAAAGTTTGTCCCCGGGCGCCGGGAAGGGTCGCTACGCCTCTGCTAGATCTTAATAAATTAAATTATTAGCAGTTAAGTAAATCTAGTGGAGGTCACGTGACCTCTCTTGGCCTGTCATCCTGCCTTACCCTTTACTATTGTTGTCTTTTAACTTTCTCGTAGAAAAAATTGCGCACTAAGTGAACAGCAATCAATGTGTGTATAATAGTGCGGAATATTAGTACTTTATAAATTCATATGCTTTTTTTAGAAATCGAAAATAGCGTAAAGTTACTACTTCCGATAAACGGAAATTACTCAAAATTTGACAGAAGGCAGATAATTAGATATTTTACTTATACGTGAAATTTCGTCTATCTTAACAATTAAACAGTACTCAAATTATAGACTTTTGAAAAACCAAAAGTAGAATAAGTTCCACTTAGGGTTACGGGAAATCGCTGAAAAGTTGATACAGAACTACAAATTTAATATAATACTTATATATGAAATTTAATCAACTTAGCTGTAACGGTACTCACGTTATTTCATCAACTTAGCTGTAACGATACTCAAGTTATCGTGTTCACAGACTTCCACACAGTCGCACGGACCGAATTGCAAAACCCAGTTTTTCCGACTCTATTACGCGTAAAACGCCGAAATCTTGATAAATCTGCATTTATAATTTTTGCCCAATTAAATTAAGTTCCCTATACTTCGTATACGATGAACTAAAGAGGTGTAAAACGGCGAAAGCTGCCAAAATGTCATGTGATTTACGTGCACGGTTAAAATACTTCCTCTATACTCTGTATACGAGAAAGTAAAATTATAATATACGGGAAAATTTAGGGGAGATTACTCCCGCTTTATTTTACAAGCTATTCACTAAAATCTTTAACTCCAAAACAAAAACTGACCTTGGCGTTCACATTGAAATGATAAAAGGACCTGGTCTCGTAGTCCAGTTTCCTCAGTAGGGTGATGACCCCACTTGTGGAATCTATAGAGAAGGTCTGGCTGTATTCTTGCTGGTCAGTCTATAGACATAGAGTCATTTAGTCACTCTACAGACATGCTAATGTTTCACAGTTAGTCAATCTATAGACAAATAAACATCTCAAATTTAGTCAGTCGTAGAAAGACAAGGTTGTATCTCATTTAGTCAGCTTATAGACATATACTCATCTTACATAGCATCAATTTATAGACATACACTCATACTATATATAATCAATTCATAGACATACAATCATCTTACATATAATCAATTTATAGACATAAACTCATCTTACATATAATCAATTTATAGACATAAACTCATCTTACATATTATAATGAATTTATAGACATACAACCATCTTACATATTATCAATTTATAGATGTACAATAATCTTACATATAATCAATTTTTAAGCATACAATCTTCCTGCATATAATCAATTTATAGACGTACAATCATCTTACAAATAATCAATTTATAGACATACAATCATCTTATATTTAGTCAGCACAGTGTGACTTGTGATCAAAAGAAATGTAGACAAAAAATGCCATTACAAGATGACATCACAACAAACGTAGCCAGATGACGTCACTCACGTATGCCACAAAAGTTTAGACATTTGCTAAACTTAAATTCTCTTTAAAATAACAAAAAGCATTTATTGTCCTAACCCCCCCCCCCCCCTCTTTAAAATAACAAAAAGCATTTATTGTCCTACCCCCCCCCCCCCCATTACTATTCTAGTGGTGTACTGTTTGTTTTAACATTTATAAAAATGAACGAAATAGGTATATCTAGGAAAGAAATATTGGTAGTTTTTTGGTTGGGTATTTTCATAGGGCTTGATATGATGTTACCGTAATTCAAATAACTAAATGTTAAAAGGTCTAACTACTTACCGCGACACTAGCCTGAAACAAAAGAAGAAAAATATTAAATGCGATCTGCATGGATGGAAAAAACCAACTGAATTAGTTTATATTGTATTGAGAGAAGTTTTTTTTTTTGTTGTAGGTAAAAAGAGTGAGTAAGGTTCTTGGAATATTGATAGTCAAGTGCTTGAGTAAAACCAATAAATAAAAAAAAAAAAAAAAAAAAAGCCAACTTACATTCATAGAGTAGACGACAGAACCGCCTTGACCAGAGTCAGGATCTCTGGCAGTGACACTATAGACTGAAGTTCCTGTGGTAGTATTCTGAGGAAAATTCATGAGAACCATCAAGTTAAAGCTTTGCCAGGGATATATTACAGGTGTAGCAATATCACTTTCAACAGGTAACCTAAAACTAATTTTAGCAATTGATTCATTAGACATAACTAAGTTCAACTAAACAGTTCTTAATCTGATTAACTGAATTTATCAAAACTCCCCTCTCTTCTGTCTAGCTGATAAAGCAGGATCTGATCATGTCTACCAAACTTTGAGCTATCAAAAACCTAGTCTAACCTCATTGAGCGATGCTCTATAGGGAAGATTTATAAACATTGGTGCGTTGTCGTTGACGTCTTTGATGATCATGGTGATCGATATTCTGATCTGTTGAATTTCGTATAGATAAATTACAGTGTGTACCAGTCTATACATTTAAAAATTATAAATTTAAAGTTTTGTTCGTGTGTTTGACCAGGCTCTTTTCAATGAGGGTCTAAACAGGATCATGATTATGACCCTGGGGAGACGCCGAAAAGTTAGGCTAACATGACGGTGTCCGGTAAAAAAAAACTCGGACATAAACCGCCCCCCCCCCCCCGCGACATAAACCCCCTGGACAAACCACACCCCCCCCCCTCCATCCCCACGGTATAAACCCCCTGAACAAAACGTATTTGTTCAACAAAGTTCAACTTCTTCTTCGTTCGTAATTGTAATGTTGGACGGTATTCCCCACATGGCTCATTAAAACTCCAATTTCAGCCTGCTTTTGTTTCTGGGTGTGCTTCCATAACGTTTGTCTAACCAAGAATAAAATACAAGGCAGCAGTTGTTGAATGTTGGAGTTTTGTCTCCTAGATGGGTTTAGTCCCCAGTTAATGAGCATAACCTGCCCGAAGGTTTGAACTCGGGACTTGTGAAGTTAGCAACCATTCGCTCTAACCCCCCCCCCCCCCCCCCCCCCATCCCCCCATCTATACATTTCCCTGCTCTGGACTGACGACATGAAGACGATAACCCAATTCCAGTCGGGTTTTTTAAACAATCAGAAACTGTTAAATTCTCTCCTCTGAGATGAAGTGGCTAAACACCAAACATCATCACTCTAGTCTAGGACACCCTCGGTCCAAATCTCTAAGCGTCTTGAGCATTAAAACCTGTGCAATTATCTTGCTAATTCTGCAAGACATGTTAGGGTACTGATTCACGATAAAGGGGGTGATATTTTATCGTCTATAGACCTATATCATAAGCTGAGTCAAATGTGATACTACTGCACACAGAAGTATTAAAGACCTCGATTTTCTTCTCATAACACAGTTACAATCACTCCTGCTATTCATGCAATCTCTGCTGATGTTCGCACAACAACTATTGATGCTCAGACAATAACTTCTGATGTCAATAGTGAGTAGAGGGAACATTTTGCACCAACACTATGGGTTAGGATGGGAGGAAGAGATCGCATGACCTCCACGGGAATTTGTATAAATCGAAATTTGTAATGAAAAAATAATAAATTTACACGCACAACTGAGATTTTAAAATATTGCGAAGTTACAAAATGCAGATTAGTTTTTATACATGTATTTTCAATTGCATTGAAATGGTAAAACTTAGATTACTACAATGCAATAAAATTACCTAGCTAGCCACCACCCCCCTCCACCCACTCACCCTCAGATACACACACCCACGCACACAAATACTTTATTGAATACAATTGCACTTACTGTATACATATTGTCCGAAACCTTGAAATATAAGTCTCTGGTTCTTGGGCTCTGAAAGGTCACAAAACTGTTTAGTTAAAAGTTCCCGAGTTGTTTTTTCCCCTCGCTACCACACATGCACTAGTGAACTTACATTGTCCCAGTCTAATAATTTGAAATAAACTTACATTGTCCAGTCTAATAATGTGAAATAAACTTGCATTGTCCAGTCTAATAATGTGAAAAGAACTTACATTGTCCCAGTCTAATAATGTGAAATAAACGTACATTGTCCAGTCTAATAATGTGAAAAGAACTTATATTGTCCGTTCTAATAATGTGAAAAGAACTTTCATTGTCCAGTCTAATAATGTGAAATAAACTTACATTGTCCCAGTCTAATAATGTGAATTGAACGTATACTGTCCCAATCTAATAATTTGAAATAAACTTACATTGTCCAGTCTAATAATGTGAAGAGAATTTACATTGTCCAGTCTAATAATGTGAAATAAACGTACATTGTCCCAGTCTAGTATTTTATTTAAGTTGAGGTCCGTGTTCCAACTGTTCCCATTATATCTGGCAGGGGTCAAGCTGACCAGCTGTGCTGTCTCCTCCGTGTCCGTGCTGTGGATAAAGATATTTTTACTTTCTCGTATATACGAAGTATAGAGAAAGTCTTGTAATCGTTCAAAAAAGAAAATCGAGATTTTTGCAAATCTCGACGTTTTACACCTCCCTGAGTCAGAAAAACATAATTTTGCAATCTTGTCCGTATGTCTGTGTGTGTGTGTATGTGTGTCTGTAAACACGATAACTTGAGTACCGTTATGGCTAGGTTGATGAAATTTCATATATAAGTATTTTATCAAATTTGTAAATCCGTATCAACTTTTGAGCGATAACTGATAACCGGAAGTGGTACTTTTTCTACTTTTAATTTTTAAAAAGCCTATAACTTGAGAACTATTTTAGATAGATAAATGAAATTTCACATGTAAGTAAAAGATGTAATTCTATGCCTTTTGTCAAATTTTGAACGGAAGTAGTAATTTAAGCTATTTCCGATTTCTCAAAAAATGCATTTGAATTTATAATTTACTAATAATATTCCGCACTATTATACACATTATGCTTGGCGTTCGCTTGGGTCGCAATTCTTTTTTCTACTAGATTTTATTCTATTAAAAAAGTTTAAGTAATTAAAAATGGATTAAAAATCATGTCTATATGTGATATGCCATCTCCCGTAGTGCTATATAAGAATATTCGTGAAAGTTTAGGGGAGATTACTCCCGGTTTATTTATATCATAAACTTCTAGTTTTATCCAGGATTTCTCAGCGACATTTTTCTACAGGGAGGGGGGCATTTAAAATTTCCGCAGGGGAGGGGGTAGGGGCAGACGATGGTTGAAATTTATCATTTTCTATTTCAATTTTTTTCTATTACGTCCGTGGGGATGGGGGGGGGGGTGTAGGACAAAAGGCCGACATGGACAAAAGGCCGACAGCCAAAAGACAGACTGGACATAAGGCCGACAGGACATAAGGCCGACAGACCATAAGACCGACAAACCATGAGGCCAACAAGCATAAAAATACTAATATCGCAAAATATGTGTTATCTTGACAACCATTTAAATTAGGCATGAAATAAGGTGAAACGTTCAAGAGAAGAGACAATGCTTATAAGGTGAACCATTGGGTCCAATCGACTGAAGATTACGGGAGTGTCTTAAACACAAAGGATTAACACCTAAATATTGCGAAATCCGGTCACTACTGTCTTTTACTGTCTACTCTCCTTCTATGTCAACGAGGTGAGACAACCATCAAAGAACCAAATCAAAAGCCGTCGCATCATCGCCCACATGAAATAAGGCGGAACGCCAATAGATAATGCTAGCTGCTATCCTAGTAAAACCTGTTTTACTCTATGGAGCTGAGACATGGAGAATAACTGCTATAAATAAGAAGAAAATACAATCATTTATAAATGCATGCCTCAGAAAGAGCCTGCGAATTTGCTGGCCTAAAACCATGAGAAATGATGTTCTATGGCAACGGACAAAACAACTGCCAGTTGAAGTAGATCCTGCAGAGAAAATGGAAATGGATTGGCCACACACTCAGGAAGCCTGTATCCAGCATAACAAGACAGGCCCTCACCTGGAATCCACAAGGCAGGGGGAGGAGAGGCAGACCAAGAAAGACCTGGAGACGTGACCTGGAAGAAGACACCAAGAAGATACACCTGGGGACAGTTGGAGAGACTAGCCAAGGACAGAGACGTCTGGAAAGCTCTTGTCTGCGGCCTATGTCCCAGTAGGGACGACAGGCAAACCTAACCTAACCTATCCTAGTAAGGTGAACGATGGGGTCAATGCGACTAGAGATGACGCCGTCGGGAGTGTACAAAGGATAAACAGATAGGTTGTGTTACCACCATATTTAGCAAGGAAATCAAAGAAACTGAATGAAGTAGAACGATCACGAGCCTTGACTGGACTTCTATATGTTAAATACTGACAAACTTTGAATTCTATTTTAGTTTCGTCCATTGCGAATTGCGTAAAAAAAGTGTATACTATATTCGTTGAATTAATTAATTATGTTGTGATTGAGATACAAGTGTGCCAAAACTTGGTAAGTTATTTTTTGTTTTTGTTTTTTGTTAAAAAACCCACTAAATTTGATATTAATAAACAAAATACAAGTATGCCCACATGTTGTATAAACACAAAAATATGTCATATTCAACTCACCTACATCGCAATCAACGTTAAAATATGCCGTTTAAATCGTTGAAGGTGAGTCGGGGGTAGGTGGGGCAGGTTGACACATGACATAAGACAAAATATAACAAAGTTTACAGTGCAGTCTTTTACTACATTAGCAACAGCTTATAACATTCCTTGTTAAAATTCTCTGGGGTATTGGTACGAACAGTTAAGTCATGGGGCGGGGTGCGAACTGGACCTGGAGGCACCATGTTTTAAAACATTCAACTTTTATAGTGCAGATTATCTTAGTGCACTTGGATTTGTACATATTTTATTTCATAATGTTTATATTGTTAAAATTAGTAGGGCACTTGTGTAAACATGCCCCTGTGACTTCCCTATATATGGACCAATATATCAGTAACAAACAATTGGTTACATGTCTGTAATTGTAGTTTGTTGTTTTATAAAACTTGTTGGCCTTTTGTCTTGTCGGCCTTTTGAATTGCTAAAACTCATTCTTACGTCATATTAAGAAACTATGTTTCTTAATTAAGACATAACAAGCGATGCTCTAAAGAATGTCATTTCCTTAATTAATCTAGTAAACAAAATCTGCCGACGTTTGTAATTAAAGAGGTTGATTTTGTAGAGGTATTATAAAATACGGGGGTATTGGTGTGTGGGATCGTTGTATAACGTTATATGGGGTAGTAATGTGGTCGAAAATATCTATATATATATATAATTCTCTTCTGGGAGCCGTTAGAAAACAAGCTGCAAGCGCCTCCTTGCAGTCCCCTCTCTTTCTCTCTATCACTATCACTACCACCCCCACCCCACCCCCACATTGTCTGGTGAGCTATTGTCACGTTGTTTACATTTTACAATTTATAGAGACGGGTTTGGTGACGGCTATTAGGGGCAGATAATTTAGTTTGAAACGATTTTAAACTTAGAGGAGGTAACTAAGAGGAGGCTGCTTTCACTTGGGGGGGGAGGGGGGGAGGGGGGTTTAGTGTTTTTAAGCAAATATTTTCAGTGGCAGCATTGGTACTGTCGAATTCACAAATTATAAATTACTGAAAAGTAGAAAAAAAACAACTAAATAGCGGCGTATGATACGCAGCGGGTCGACTCGAATGATCTATTATATATGATAGATTTCTGTTTAGTAAAAAAATAAACCTGGAGTGATCTGGCAAATCGGGATGTAGACAAGATTTTTAATCCATTTTTAATTACTTAGACTTTTAAAAATAGAGTAGAATCTCGTAGAAAAAAGAATTGCACACCAAGTGAACGCCAATCAATATCATAGTGCGGAATATTATTAGTACTTTATAAATTCACATACATGTTTTAAGAAACCGGAAATACCGTAAATTACTACTTCCCGTCAACCGAAATTACTAAAAATCTGATAGAAGGCAGAGAATTAGATATTTTCATTTAGGCCTATCTATCTGAAATAGTACTCAAGTTATAGGCTTTTGAAAGAATTAAAAGTAGAAGTTCCACTTCCGGTTACCGGAAATCGCTGAAAAGTTGATACAGAACTACAAATGTGATATAAATATAATACTTATATATTAAATTTCATCAACCTAGCTGTAACGGTACTCAAGTTATCGTGTTCACAGACACACATACATACATACAGACACACAGACATACGGACAAAATTGAAAAAACTATGTTTTTTCCGACTCAGGGAGGTGTAAAACGTCGAGATTTGTAAACAAATCTCGATTTTCTTTTTTTTTTTGCACAATTACAAAACTTCCTCTATACTTCGTATACGTGAACGTAAAAAGGTCATAGAATCGCAAAATATAACACAGAAATATTCCAGTTGACAGAAAATAGAGAAAAACAATTCCAACCTAAAAGTTAGGGTGTTATTATCCGGGTCTTGGGCCGTCAGCTGGAAGATTGAGGTACCTAAACATTGGGGAAACACGAATGAAGTAAGTGGGTCATTTGTTTTTTTTTTCCTTTCAACAATGTGAAAAAATTGAATTTCACTAATATAATAAAATTTCACTAATATAATCAAATTTTGCTAATATAAACAAATTTCACTAATACAATTAAAATTTATTAATATAATTAAATTTCACTAATATAATCAAATTTTACAAGTATAATCAAATTTCACTTATATAATCAAATTTTACTAAGACAAACAATTTCACTTATATAATCAAATTTTACTAATATAAACAAATCTCTCTAATATAATCAAAATTAACTAAAATAATCAAATTTCACGAATAAAATCAAATTTCACCAATACAATCAAATCTGCATGTCACGTGTAAAGTTGTAAAAATTTAACTCACCCACAGGAGCGTTTTCAAAGACAACAAGCAATTTTGGATTTGCTGATGGTAAAAATGGTGGGTTGTTCTGGGCAAAAGTAACATCCGCTGGTAAA